TTTTGTTATTAATCTTTCATATTAATATATTTGCTAAGAAGAAGTAATGATGTTTATGATTAATCTATTTTTTTTTATTTAAAAGATATATATCTATGTTTTTATTTAGGGAATTACAAAGTACAACGGTGGGATATACATGAACAAGACTTTCTTGAGTCCGCTCCTGGTTTGGGAATGTTTGTGACTGTCACAGCTCCTACTGATGAGGTAGATTTGTTATTATGAATGTTTATAGGGTTTATATATTGCCCTTCGGCACTGGAAGGCAACACTATCTAAAAATATGGACACTTCTTTGTAAAACATAAATTCACAGTATATCAACTAATTAAATATTTTGATGTTGAAATGGCAAGCACCTTATGGCTACCATCGAAAAAAAAATACAAATGGCAATTATTTGTGTGGTTTTAGAATTTTATTTTATTTTATTTTATTTTATTTTATTTTATTTTATTTTATTTTATTTTATTTTATTTTATTTTATTTATCTTCACAATACTTTTTACATTACTACTAGATTCGAAAAATAATGTCATTAAAAAACTTATGAAACAAATGAGAAAACACATCAGATTTAAATGGTAATTCACAAAAAGTATTTATGCAGCTGAAAGAAAGGTTAAAAATAAATTAAACTGCAAAAGTGAAGTTAACTATGACACTGCAAATAGTAACCAATCACAGTAATTTCCTGCATTGCGATGAGAAATTGACTTTTTTTTTTTACCAAAAACTATTTATTTCTGGGTCTAAATAAGGTAGCAATTTTTAAACTTTAAATGCCTATTCTAGAGAACATTGGATTTTGTCTGCTGTGCAAATTCATTTTGTTATTTTGGTGTTGTGAGCTTAAGTTTTTTATTACTTTATAAATCTATTCAGAAGTTCAGATTAATTTACAATTTTCAAGAGAGGAATCAATTTAGCATTCTTACATGAAATGCACAGTATTTTTTTGATTGTTTTATACATAGAACTTAAATAAACAGTCAATATACATAATACCTAAATTACAGGTACTATTGAAAAAACTGTATGGGCCACAAGCAACATTTTCTTTTACATCCTACATGTCTGGAGAACATATCATCTGTTTACAGTCTAACTCCACAAGACTTATGGCATTTGCAGGAAGTAAACTGGTAAGTGTAATTCTTTTTTTTTTTTTTGTAATAGTATCCATTGTGTACAAACAACAGTGTTTAAAAAAATGAGATTAGAACTCAATTTGGTTCAACTTCTAGAAGATAATTCAACATTTCCCAGTGGTTATGGAAGATAAATCTGGAGCTGTGCAGATGAAGAGATAAAGAGACTCTGTTGTAATATCTAAGAAATCAAGATTAAGGAGGCAAAACTAATAACTATAGATTGACTTAATGTTTGTACAGTGCTTTGAATATGAAAAGATTCTTATCAATACCAACAGCCATCTGGTTCAGAAAAGATAGATGCATAAGATTGACCAAGACAAATACTGTTGAAAAAGCACTTATCACAGTATCTTTGATTGAATTCTTTCAGAAAATTTAGCATTTAAGTTTTGACAGATATTCAAGTTAAGAATATATTACCATTTTTGATATTGTCTGCCAATGAAGTTGGTTTTAAAGCAGATTTTGAAAAAAAAAGGCCATCAAAGGTGATACCATGGCTTCTATATCAGCAAACAATTTCATAAATATTGTATTAAATTGTTTTGTATAGGCCTTTTCTCAAAAGGTAATTGACTAAAACGCATGAGAAAAACTTGTCTTTTCTATCAGTGACTATTAAAATGGGTTAGATAACCACCTAGATATAAACATCTTGTAAAACTGCGAAGTGAGTTAAACTAAATATCATCCTAGATGTACATTTTGGAAGCATGTAAATGACACAGAACTGAGTATGGTTAATATTTATTAACCATACTGTAAAGGTACTGTTACACAGAAAAAAATAGGTCTTGTGAAAATGAGTTGAAATTTAACCACTCTCCTTGCAAAGGCACTTTTATGTTCTACTAATGATTTTTTTAAGTGCACCAGCTGGAGAGAATAAGGAACATAAAGTTGTATTGATTGATCATATATAACTACAAATCATCAGTATAATTCTGAGCATATAGTAGAACATTTTTATTTAGTATGGATGGTGATGGGTGATGCATTAGTGTCATTTTACATATCATTGGCTAGATCTCTTTTAGAATTCACAAATAGTTTTGCTCCATCCATTTAAAAAATACAGAAGAGAAGAATAACAGTCAGCACTAAAAAGCATTATTTGTCCAGTTTAAAAATGCAAAAAAGAAAAAGGAAAATATTGCATTCATGACTTCAGTCATGAGAATATTTTTTATGTTCACAGCGTATTCATTTAGACATCAGAGTTGGAGAACATTTTCTGGATGAAGTCGTTGCTCAAGCCAAAGACAAAGTAAATGAAGTTAGCGTTAAACTGGGACATCTGCTTGAGCAAATTCATCACATATCCAGAGAACAAAACTATGAAAGAGTATGTATTCTCTAGTTGAAATGTTAAGAAACTGTGCACAAAGAATTATTTATTTTATAAAGTATTATAAGGTTTATTATTTAATTACAGTATTAGTTTCCATTCACTGATAAAAAGACTATTAATATTTGACCAAAAAAAAGTCCATGTGAGTTTTGATAAGCAAATCTGACAACCTCATTGATAAGAAGAATAAACTTTCATTTTTATCATAATGAAGAGTTTTTGTTCACTGCCACATAGTGGAGGGATCGATGTTTAGTTACTAGGCTAACAGCATGAAAGAAACACATGCTGTAAAGTGATAACTATGCTTTTTCTCTCTTATCAGGAACGTGAAGAGAACTTTCGGAAGATAAGTGAAGAAACCAATAGTAATATTTTGTGGTGGGCTATCCTACAGACGTTAATCCTTATCTCTGTTGGAATCTGGCAAATCAAATCTCTCAAAGACTTCTTTATAGCTAAGAAGCTTGTTTAAATGTTATAAAGTAAATGCATAGATTCAAAAAATGTACATAATTAAATGCCTTATATTTGAATTAATAAGATATTAAACACAAACAGATTATTTGCATTCTTTAGAATGCAAATCTTCACTAAAAATTCACTATCTTTGAATTAGGAAAATAACCTCTGGAATAAAAAACAGTCAGATAAAATCTAGTGTGTAAGAAAGTTTCTATCTGAGAAAAAGAAAAACTCATCTTCTACCTCTGCCTTTATTCTACCTCTGCCTTCCCCATCAGTATCACAGTATCTGATTCCTATATTTCAAAGCATCCTACTCATTTCTGCTTCTGTACTGGCACGAACAACTCTTCAGGCTCATCAGGATTTGGATGCTAGGCTGAGAAACAACTTGTGGAGATTAATTTGGAGAGTGTCCTAATGCTCTTCTGCATGTGTAACACCTAGCTTTTCATCAAATATAATTGTGAGTGTTTTCTTTTAAAATATTACTAGTTCTGGGTAGCGGTGGAGCCCGCACTTGGTTATATTATGGTTACATTATGACTAGTGGTCATAACAATTACTGTGGAGGAGACAGAGACCTGGATGAATAATTACTTCCAAATGAGCCCTAACCACTAGGCTACAGAGTGGAGATGTGCCTTCTCCCACAGTTATTTATGTAAATTAGTAAATAGTCTTTATGGAGTACGACAAAGTAGATTATCACAGGTTTATTTCTAAACATCAAATCTGATTTTAAGTCATTCCTATGCTAAATTCCTCATTCTGTTTCTGTGTATTTCGCTTTTACTTATTGCTGCTTCGATGGATATACCTGATTTGCTTTAATTTAGCTAGCTTATGTACAACTAGCAAAGCAGCTACAGCATCATGCGAGTACAAATCCTGTGCCAGAATTATGATTAAAATCTCAGATAATGAGCTTGTCCCTGCAGCAGTAGTGTTTGCAATTTAAGATTAATCTGATCTTGTTGGAGGTGGCCATAGGATGACCCATTTCAGCACTCAGTGAACACGTAAAAGGACTTTTCTTAAAAGAAAGGACTTCTAGAGACACGGAAATACTTGTGGCACAATTATTGTTTTAAAGGTGATGCTCGCTTTTTTTTCTATCCTCTCATCTTTTGTCTTCATTAGCAAAGAAGTGACCTTACCTCCTAAGTTCATATCCTTTTGCAGCATGGAAATGAAAACACATCTGTGAGTATGTGAGAATCCACAAAGCAGATATGGAGGCAAAAAGCAACATTCTGCAGACTAAAGGCATCAAAATAAAATCTTGTGACTGCTTCTGTTCACCGATGTGCACTATGGATTTAAAATTTTGGAGATTTTATAGTTACATGAAACACTGGATAAACTGGGGGTAATCAGTTCACTTTTATAGACCACTGTCTTATATATTACATAAATTCTGGTGGTGGGAAAAAGAGAAAGACAAGTTAAAACCATGTGAAAAATAAAGTCCAAGAAGAAACTTTAACACCAAGTTGTGATTTAGACCTTAGCTTCCACTTTTAGCCTAAGGCCTTTGCTGGTATCGCTTAAAAAGGCACTTAAGCTCTAAAACCAAAGGGGCAAGGCTTTCATGAGCATTTGCGAAGGGGCTATTAGAGTTTTCAGTATTAATAAGTTTATATTCAATATTATTCAGTAATAATAATCACCTCACAATGGCCCCAAGAGTGCCAGCCTAGACTGCAGCTGGAAGGTGCTTCCTTTGTTACCTAGAAGCATTATTAAATATAAATATATGAATATATACCAAATACGGATGGGGGAAGCTTGCCGGGTGTGTGGTGAGGGCAGGAGACCCCCCGGCCCCCCCCACGGGGCAAATTCTGGTGCCCCCCCAAGCTCCCAGGCCCGGGGTGGGGGGGGGCAGGTGCTGCCTCAAGGTCAGCACCTTGGGGAAGGGGACATGGCGGAGGCCACCGGCCCCTAGGCCTGGCCCTGGGCTGGGAGGGTGGCAAGGAGGGGCCGCCGCGCGCCTCGTCCTGCCACGCCGGCCCTTCCACATGGCCGTGCCGACCTTCTGCAACGTGTGCTTCCGCGAGCCGAGCCAGGCCGCCCCGCGCTTCAGCCTCACCAGCTGCGGCCATGTTGTGTGCGAGCTCTGCCTGCAGAAAGGTAACGGCTGGCGGCGCCGTGGGCCGCACCGCCCTGCCGTGGGGTGTCCCTGAGCTCCTGGGGACACAGCTGGCACCCCACAGCCGCTCGCCTGTGGGGTTTGGGGCCCCAAAAACCCCTAACTACAAACTACATCTTCGAGACACTGGCCATGCACAGGTTCACATCATGCGTGATGGCCTCAGGAGAGGCCTGAGCATTTTCATTACCCAAGTGCCCTTTATGAATCTTTATTATTTTTTCTCCTAATGATTTTCTCTCAACTGTAAAAAATAGCTTGAGTCTGCCTTCACCTGCATTCTGCTAGAGCAATCTGGCTTAGCAAAGGAGCCTTTAGATCCCCCCAAAACTGAAGGATTTAATAATGGTTGAGTCTAAATGCATTTACATGTATCTGGATTAAACATTACATTGATTACACACAATATTGCATGTATTACATCAACAAATGTATTACATGTGTTACGCTTGGAGTGTATTACTTTAATTCTGTTACAGGTAATACTTAAATGTATATTTGCATTGTAAAAGAACGATAAAATGGCGGCCTCACTCATCCTGGAAGGGTGGTTAAAGAATGATTTTCACTAGTTAAAGAATAATTTTCATTATGGATTCACGTTGTAGGGTGCACATTTTGTTCAGTCTTCAAATCTTACTCCTGTTGCTGCTGAAACACTGGATGAATTCTGACAGCCTTAGGGAGATTTTGAAGGGATGTCTTGAGGCTCGTGTGTGTTGGATGTGATACCTGAACCACTCACCGGACCTCCTTGGGTCATCCAGAGCATAAAAGCTCTGTCTTTCACCAGGATGCATATCATAAGATATCCATCTATATTTCAAAACTCAAAAGTATTCTTCTTTTTGTTTGTTTTCCCTTGACCTTTAAACTTTTGACACTTTTGCTGTTAAGGAGGGAGGTTTGTAAAGTGCAGCCTCTATAAACACATTTTGAAGACTCCGAGAACATGAAGCACAGCTTCCCTGTGTGCTGTTAATATTATCCGGCAGAAAAAAAAAAATGAGACACTATTTTTTTTATTGCTGTGAAATCAGTAATAACGATAATATCAGTTTAACGATGCATTTTGCCTTAAAGATATTTATGGACATTGATCCTTAGAAAGGAGACATATAATTACCCATGATGGTAAAAGATTGTATAAATATTGTGCTCATATGCCTTTTTATAGGCATAATTGCTATCGCATTGAGAATAATAAAAGATATTTATAAAAAAATTTGAAGTTACTGGAAAAATAATGAATTCTTTGAGTTTAAGACTTCATATATTTTATCTAGAGAACAAGAGTAAATCCCAAACCAAAAAGTCATATATGTGGTTGGCTCTAAGTCATTAGTGCACATAAGCATGCATTTAATTAAACAAGACAAGTAGTCCTATTTAAATCAAAGGAACTAAAAGTCACCTGCATTCAATGACACTAATCATATTCATAAAATCATTTGCATGAATGCTTATTTGCAGGATTAAGACCTGATGATATTCACATATTTTTTTTTCCTGTGCAACTGTGTGCTAATGTTTTAAAAATCAAATTATTTATTCATATCTATTTGCATTTCGTCTGTAAACCTCAGATTCCTTCCGCAGGCTCCAAAGAAAGCTGTAGACATCAAATTTGATTAAAATGTATTTATTTTCTATTCAGATTGATGTATATTTTAAATGTGTCTTTATCCTACAGGCAAAAAAGATGAATGTTTGATCTGTAGAACTCCTTGTCGTACGTTGCTCCTTTCAAAACAGGTAAATGAAAGCTTTAGTAATATTGTATTACATTAATCTGTGGTTTGCTTAACAGCTAAATTATTTGCATTACAAAATACTTCCCTTTTGTTTGCCAACTGTGACATGAATATTTATTGATGATGGGCTGGTAGGCTTTCATACGTTTGCACTATTGAGCTTTTAGTTTTATGGAGTTCTTCAAATTTAAGTGCATGTAATCTTTTTAGATCTTCATATTCTACTGAACTGAAACTCATTCCACATTTTTCAAGAACATGAATGGCTACTAATATCAATGACCCCTGTGAAAATGTGTATTGACTTTGGCATTTGCACATTGGAGAAAGTGATGATGCAGTGAATTATTTCATGTAATGAACTAAAGCAAAAATCTGTATCCTGGCCCATCAGTATTTTTCAAGTGTTTTTTTTTTCTTTTTCCATTTTCTCATAAGCAAAACTATTATTGTAATAGCTCTTGCCTTCTGTTGTAGTGAAGAGATGATCTGGAATATGATGGGAAATTCTTGTCTTCATTTACTAGAGAATGAATAGCTCTATTCCCTTCCTTGAGACATCACTTGAAAGATTTAATTTTTTTTTTCCCTCAGGAAACCATCTTCTTAACTCATTTCATAAATCGGTTGTGAAAACATATATTTTCCTAGACTGCCTGTTCAAAAACATGACTGCCTTACCATTATAAAAAAAAATACAGGGGACACTAAGTCCAGCTAAAACATTAATACTACAAGGCCATATGGCAATCCTGTATATGAAATGGACGCCAGATTGTGACTGCTCTGAAATGACCCTGAAGAATCATGCTGACCATGATTTCTCTAAACATTTTTAAAGCTACGCTAAGGGATACCTAATTATAGAAAATTCTACCAGTGTATCATGTATATGAAAAGGTAGAATACTGATACTTTATATTTTATGTTTCTAAATACAGAATCCTTCAGAACTGAAATAACATGAAAAAGACAATGCTACCAAAAAAGAAAAGAAATTACATCAAAGCGGTTAAATGCCAGCAAAATAAAAAGGCCAATAGAATGTGGTAACAAAATAAAACATAACACTCTCAAAATCTCTAAGGGAGACTTTTGCATAAACATTCACTATCAGCCTCTGTTTGCTGCACATGTTATTATTAGTTTCAGTTATAGAATAATTTAAGTTGTCAGGGGCCTCTGGTCATATTTTTCAACCCTATACTCAGAACAGGGCTAATTTCTAGATTCAAGAAGCCTTAAATTTCAGTATATCAACAGAACTTAATCTGCTTCAAAAATACTGAGGGAATTTAAAAATGCTATGGCTGCGCTACTAAGAAATATATTAGATGTTTTGTTAGAACCTGTCAGTGCTCTGCAGAACAGGAAGGAAGCAAATTACCATATTCCTTAAAAAAGACATTAATGATGATTACTTAACCTTGATTAAGAACAGATAAAATGATTGGAATGATAATTAAAGACGCATATATAAAAAAATCATATGAGTCTATAATTCAGGAACTTGAGTAGAAAAATAACTTATACCCTTTATGAGCATTATGCTATGTCAAAATTCCCAATGAGGAAAATGTCTTGCAAATGTAGTAAAAATCATCATCAAATTGTATATTGGGGCAATCAATATCTGCACATTAAATATTCTCATCTTTACAGTAATGCATGTTTGTCATCTTTACATTTTCCTTATATATCTCATGTTCCCTTCTTCCTTTTTATTAGATGGTGTTCAGATGACTCAGGATCTCATTGTTCATCATTTTAGAATATCATGTTAACATTTGCTACTCTTCCTTGCAACAAATAAAATCTAAGCAATTTTCTACAAGCCTTTATTTTAAAGAGTTTCTAAATAAACAATGAAGCTATAAAAATGTACATTTTTATTTTTGAAGGATATATCTGATGGTGACTCAAACCAAGGTCCTTTCTTTGATAGAACACAAATAGGTTTTAGAGCTTTTCTCCTATTTTAAATACGGCCAATTTATTTTTATGAGTATGTTGTGTTTTTTTTTCTATGAAGTTTTATTGTCTTGCCTCTGTTTTCTTTACTAAAATACTAAAATGATAGCTTAGACTGTGCTATCTGCATATCTTCTTTTCTCTTTTTCAGTGTGCCACTTCATTGTGTAAAAAGACTCTTTAAAAATTCTAAAAAGTCTGTTTATTAAAATTGACAATTTTAGCTTGTATACATCAAACTATAAATGGAACACATCACAAATAGTTTATATAATTTTATCTGCAAATAAAAGTACTAACCTTGATATATTTTCTTTTCTTGGTAGACAAATCCTGATATTCAATCACTGTTCATGGGACTAGATGTGCTATGCAACAAATATTCAAAAGAAATAAGACAGGTGAGTCCTGTGAAAAATGTCTGTGAGATTTAGTTTCCATCTGTCAGTCAGAACCCAGATACAGTGTTTCTCAGTGTTTCACTGTAAATTCAGTCACACTCATTGCATAATTTTATTACACTTGAAAGTGTATTTGTGCTAGTCTATGAAGCAGGATGGGGAAGGAGGCATCAGAATCAAGTATTCTTTCGTGTTGAAGGAAATGACAAGGCCAGTATTCTTGTGCTATGCAGTTCTCTGTATTCTCTCTTATATGTTCTAATTATAGAAAGTAACAGTTAGAGAGTATATAGCACAAGACACAGTAGCACTGTAGCAGCTTCCAGTAACTTGTATTTAAGTGAGAGAGAGAGAAAAAAAAAGTTTAAAACTGAATCTTCGGCTATTTCTTTCTTCAATTCTCTGCTTCCAGAGTTTGAAAGTTCTCAAGAAAGCAAAAATTATTCATTAGGGCCATTGCTTATGTTTTCAAACTGTCTCTGAGGACAGTTATTTCTGATTTTTTTTGATGATGCAAAATCACTTTCAAAGTTATGCAATGAAATATTATATCCACCAGAACCTTAAGCAGGCCTAAGCTGTGTACACTAATTACAGCAGTAAAAAATTATGCAATGGAAGCCTGAACTGGACAAACCCCTGAGGTAAATATTCATCCTGCCATTTTTTTTTTCTAAATAAAATGAGCAAGTCAGCAAATACTAAAAACATCTAATTTCAAAAGCTAGTTTTTATTAAAAATAAGAACAATGTAATTCATAAAATCCTCAGATCTTCTTATTTAGTCAGATGTGATGAAAGATTTCAAGGTAAATTTTCTCTCTTCTTACTGTAACCTCCAAGGAGGATCCATTCCTTTGGTTTTATTTTCCAGTCCAGTAATTTTCGTAACTTACTGAGTTAAGAACAGCAACAACAAAAACTGCATATAAGCTTGTAAGCTCCCTTTAGATCCTTTTATCCTTCACTTCCATTGCTTCATTGTGGGACTTGTTCTTATCGCTTTTGCTGAGCCTTTCTACAGCAGTTTAAACAACTCTCAGTCTGTAGTTATGCGTCTTCCCTCAGTCTACCACAACCTTTGCTATGTGTTTTCATCTCCCTTGCCCTGGTACTTGTTTGACCTTGTGGTAAGCTTGCTGATCAATGGAAAATTAAACCAGAGGAGATTATTTGCTTTCTTCATCATAGGAATCTCGTAATTGACAGTTCATATTTGTTCTGCTCTGTGCTCCACAAACTTCTCCAAAGCTGAGCATGTTCCCTTTCCCACTTTCCTTAGCATTTCTCTTCTTAGGGTGCACAGCTGATTCAGGTAAACAAGCAGCCTTCCTCTCTTCAGGCCAGGCATACAGTTTTTAACAGCATGTGTAATTAACAATATTTATTCTGTAAAGTGTGAACCGTGAAATCCAGAGAGCAATATAACACCAGTCACACTTGCATGCAAACTTCTTCAGTGTGCCAAAGAAATTAAAAAAGAAGACACAATCTTGAGAGACTCAGATAAGTTTTCTGTAGATTAAAATAAAGATTAAGAAACATACTGAAGTGTAACATATAGGAATCATTGAGGAATGTCCAGAACTTCCACCAGTGTCAAAAGACATAAGAGCAGTCTGTGCCATGTTAAGACAGTTTTTGTCTATTCTAATCAACACAACAGGTCACACAACACACAAGTATCTGTCACACAACAGGTCCTTAGGAAAGCATGAGGACAGGGCTTCAGAGAAAGCTCTGAGTTTCTACTACAGCTATTTCTCAAAATAGAGATGGTGTCCTTACATTCAAAAGCTTTTGGTCAGTATTTATCTGCATGTAATTATCAAGTTGTCTGCATATTTAGTGTCTGCCACATACTATGGACAGGATATCCACAGGTTGTAGGTTGTTTGAAGAATGATTTCCTTTTGCCTGTCTTTATCTTGCTATTGTAAATTTTATTTGATGCCCTTGCATCCTGCACTGGAAGAAAAAGCAAGCATTCCCATTTACCCTGTCTGTGCTACTCATTAATTTTAGACTGGTATCATATCCCTTCTTCAACTGTCCTTTTTTTTCTAGTTATTAGGACTCATAATCACAGTTGTTCTTTCTACTGAAACTGTTCAATAACTGAATTAATTGTTAATTGATTAATCTGTATGGTTTCCAAATCTGAATTGTTTCCAAATCTGCTGCTCCCTTTCTGAGATAAGTATATTCAGTACAGTAGCATTGTTTGGTTTTGCAGTGGAGTAATCATGCCTATTCTATTTCTGTAAAGCCTATTCTATACATTTTTATTCTGTTTGTAAGGTTTGATTTGCTTTTTTGACCACCACTGGCAGCTGAACTGATGTTTTCCCGTTAGTAAACCTCAGGCCTCCATTATAGGCCTAGGAACTTGTTCCAGAGTGGTAGCAGTTGGCTCAGAGACCATTATTTTCTGAGTAAATTTAGACTTTTTTCCTTTCTGTGCCTGACTTCACATTATGTGTACTGAATTCTCAGACGTGGTTTTATTACCCAGCCATTCAATTTTTCAGAGTCATTCTGAATGTCTTCACCACATGCTCTTAAATTTACTATCCTGATTATCTTAATATCATCAGCAAACTTTGCTATAAGAGTAATAACTTTGCTATGCACCTTTTCTGAAGATTGTGTGTAAACATGTTGAATTGCAAAAGTCTAAGCATGAATCTTTGTGGAAATTATCTGGTCATCTTCCTACCTGTGTTTAACTGTATATATATTTTTTCTTATCTGTTATCTCTTAGGAATGAGTTAACTATGCAAAGATCCTTACTAGTTAGAATCCTTACTATTTTTTTTGGCCTTTTCTTCCATGAATTCTTCTGAAAACAGTTCTGATCCTTTAACGAGGATTCAGTGGGAACTTCCCAGGCACTTCTATAGTGAAACAAAAGTAACCATTTCTATTAGCTACCTCACTGTTGTTTCTTTCTTTCTTTTTTTTTTTTCTTGGAGCATTTCCTGTTGCCTGACACATTCTGTGATAGACTTCTCACACCTGGCACATGAGAAGAAAGATTTATTACTAAATTTATTAGTATTTGTTTTTCCCCTTTTGTAATTTGTTCCTCAAACTCTTTCTTTGCCTAGCATGTATGTTTTTACTTTCAATCTGTTGTGTTTTATGATCCTCATTTGGACCAGAAGTGCTGCACAATAAAATCACCACAAGACCATGTGTCTGACAATTGTATCTAATTAATAGGATATTTCACAAGACAAGTTTTAATTGCCAGTAAGACACATTACATTTTATGTTACCATTAATTTTATGTGTTTGCATAGCACTAATGAATAAGAAACAACACAGGTAGCTGCCTACCCAATTTATTAGGTTAAATAAACTTTATAAGAATTTCTACCTCAATGATAATAACTTGGACTTTGAATTATTTGTTGGATAAGAATTTAAAGAGTTGTATAAAGAATCTATTAAATAATTATTAGAATATAGAAAAACACAAATTCTATTAAGCGTTTCTTCTCCATTAATCTTTTCTGAGGTTGCATAAATATGTTTAGGTGAAGATTGGTATAACTGTAAAAATTTTATTTTTAGATTTCAGAATTTCAGGAAAAACATCGTAGACACTTACTAGCTTACCAAAAACAAAAGGTAACTCTGAGTTTGATATTGTTTTTGTTGGTTATGTTTGTCTTATTTGGTTTATTTTTAGCAAATACATCCACCTTTTATAGCAGTACTTAGCATGGTTTATCAAAATTTCCGCCTTTCTGTCATTTTGACATTTTTAATGGTATAAAATCCATGATGACTCTATTGATTATGGTTTAATAAGATGGCTGTTAGTTGTGAAGTGATGGAGAATAAATGCGGAGTCGGGGAGAAAAGAGACAGGTTTGCTACAGGGAGGAGGCAGTGGAAGCACTAAGGAAACTTTGGTTCTCAGTTTATTAGTCTAGAAGAAAACAAGACTCAGACTGACCAACTGAAGTAGATGCATGAGGCTGGTACCCTGAGACAGGGATAGTTCAGTGGGAAGATGAATAGAATTAATCATTCTCTGGAAAACATGTAGTGAAATACGCACCTCTTTCTCTGCAAGATGGAAAGACATTCAAAATTTCTTTTTAATTTCTCATTTACTTCCAAGTATTTATGCAAATAAATGACTATTTTACTCATCTTTAAGGATGTGGCCAAGTGTATTGCAGCTGCTTGATAGTACGTAACAACATACCAGCAGGTGTCCTAAGTCTGAAATGACTTGGAAATTTAAAACTGCTTGTACTGGATCAGGGTCGGAGAAGAGTGGATGACATATACATCCCATGTGCAACTAGTAGTGGTGACGCTGTTTTGGTGAAGGGCTCTGGGAAGGGGTGATTGCAGCAGACAGAGGCACAGGGAATGGTGAAGAGTCAGCGTATCTTCATGTCAAAGTGATAATCATAGAATCATAGAATGCTTAAGGTTGGAAGGGACCTCAGAGGTCATCTAGTCCAACCCCCCTGCTCACACAGGGTCACCTAGAGCACGTGGCACAGGGCTGCATCCAAATCTTTCTGCTGCTAGCTTTGAGATGGAGGAGAAACATGAAGTAAAGGTCTAAAGTGTAAACAATTAGGCAAATGGCAGTGAGCCCAAAGGAGGTGAGGAAGCACAGATTTTCCCTTTGACACAATTGCCTCCTGGCAATCTCCTCTTCTCAGGCCTTGGCTCACAGCTTTTGGGAAAGGCAGAGTGCTGCATAATGAAATGCACAACAGGAGGTTCTCATGCTTGTCTCTCTCTGTGGTTTCTTTCCTTATTTCTAGTGTGTCATCACTATTATTGTCAACAAACAGCTTTCATGACCTTGTTGAAATTTTGTTTGTTGCTCTTTCCCTGAGTTTCAGAGATGATGAAGATGAAGATGATGATTTGTGGTCTGGGCATTTGATGTTCATATTTCTGAAGGGCCCAGTCTCCACACATTGTACTAGGACCTAGAGATATTAAAGAAGAAATAGTTTTTCATTTGCTTTAAGGGATTTGGGCCTTAAAATCATCAGTTTGAGAAAGAGGCAGGAAAAAGTACATTTTTCCTGACATTTCTGCCAGCCACTCTCTTGATCAAACCTAACTCTTATTAGGAAGAAAATAAATCTGGGACTTTTGAGGTCATTATATTGCCTCGGAAATATGTTCTCCTGAAGCTAGGCCCCTGCCTGGAGGCATTTATTCTACACTGCTGCCTTCTCAGCGCAGGAATGACATGCAGAAGTTCTTGCAAGGAAGATATATTAGACATTTTTATTAGATTATTTTATTGCAAGAGTCTCCTTAAATCCCCTGAAATGAAAAAAGAAAAAAAAGAAAAAAAAAAGAAAAGGAGACTGGGAGTGTATTAGGGCAGTGGTCTGTAGGTTTGCCCTGGGACCCTACCGCAAACAGCACACTGGGCTAGTTCAGCTCTCACTCTCTATTTTTATAGCCATATGGCTATTTGGAAAAGATTTTATTTCAATCAGAGCAGTGGAACAGGCTGCCCAGGGAGGTTGTGGAGTCTCCTACTCTGGAGGTCTTCAAAACCCACCTGGATGCCACCCTGTGCCACATGCTGTAGGTGTGCCTGCTTGAGCAGGAAGGTTGGACTAGATGATCTCTAGAGGTCCCTTCCAACCTTAAATATTCTGTGATTCTGTGAAAAGATGAGAAACAGAAACAAACTATTACCAGACTATAATGAACCATGTAACAGCTACCGCTTGCCCCTTTTTATCTAACAACAGATCTGAAATGGCAATGATATCTACAATTAAAAGCCAAATATAGCCTTTCAATAGTTTAGAGTACTAGTTGTATGAAAATAGAAAATGGAGTTTGTTTAAATCTCTGATTATGTCACAGACACTGAAATTGGAAGAATCTCTCAAGAAAGCAACGCAACAATTGCATCAGCTACAATGGTAAGAGGTTTAATTTGGCAGAAATAAAAGAGGAATATTGTAATCAGATTATATCTGGGCTAATTGAGAAAATGATAAAAATCCTGCTTTGCTATATCTTCAATATTGTGTTATATAAATAAATGAACTGTATTTGTAACTTTATGGAAATGATTTTTGACATCAGATCCATTTCTTCATGATAAAGCTTGTGCAAAAATAATACTTATTATAAAAAATCAAGCCAGTAATTACTCAAAAAATGAACTCAGTTTTGTAAGTTTTCTAGTTTTGTAAGTTTACAAAAGTTTTGTAAACTGATTGTAATCTCTCATATGCAGCAAAAATAAGTTATCCAAATCATATCAAAATACTCTTTTTCACAAATGTGCTAAGTGGTAGCTTATTATTATTATCGCCTCATTGACTGATGTATTTCAATCTTTTTTATCCTTTATTATTGGCCATTGTTGAATTTCCAAATTATACCAGTTCTTATTATTGACCTCTAACTATACTTTTTGTTATTACTTTTCATTAACTTTCATTTTATTTCAATCATTTCATTTGAAAAGATCACATTATTTTTATTTTATTATTATCTGTCCTCCTTCACATTGATGATACTTTTGAAATTTATTTATAGATTACACAAACTGCTGGCTATGCCTAAATCAATAATGAATATAGCAAATAGAAGCAGATGCAAAACCAATCCGAAGGAGACATCAATAATAGCATTTCTGCACTCTCTTAACCTCTTTTTTGTTATTGTTGTTTACCTTATAGCATTATTTACATCATAGTTAGTTGAATTACTCCCTCTTATCTCTGCTTCAAAAATTAAGTGACCTGTACAGCAACCTAATGCTTAAATTGAGTTAACAGAGATTAAATATGCTGCCTTGCTACTATTTTAAAAATATGCTTACCAGAAAATAAAACAAACAAAACAAAACAAACATCAAATCAAATCTGATGTGATCTTTTATGGTAAATTATTCATTCTGTTTTCTGTTTGCTTCTATGTCCTATTTTATTCTCCTTTCTAAGACTTCAAAAACTGCTGGAATAAAAATAAACGACTTTGGACCTGTTGTTCCATAAGGTATTCTGCTATAATGTTGCCATAAATTGCCATTGTTGTGCATGTCTGATATATCAGGTACACTGTTTGCTTCATGACGAACTGTGGCATGGTAGAAAACTATTAATGAATAATATGCTTTGACCTTATGCTTTGCTGAGCAGTTACACAAATGAGTTAACTAAACCAATTTTAACCTATTTCTCTTTTTCCTTTTCTTTTGCTTTTAGTATGAAACCTCCTCAACAAACTACTCCACAGATATTCTCCAGTACAAATAGAAATCCACTCTCCTGTAAGAAGCATTAGTGTAATATATCAACTATGTAATATATATGTATATCTATATCTATATGTAATATAGACTGGATATAGCAATGTTCTAATATTGCATTTATTACTAACTTCAGTTCCTTCAAAAAAACAGAATGGATATTCTTCGTATTCTCTCCATCCTAGTCATGCTTCTACTTCTGAAATGTAGGTACAACATCATTAATTTCCAGTAAAAACCTTACAATAACAAAATATTTACTTTTTTCACGTAAAACCATTTATTTTGTAGAGTATGAATATTTTGGAAGTGAATTTAAAATGACTGTGGTTTCTAGTTTCTGTGTTCCCTTTTACAAACTATGTAGGTATGAAAGACCTGGGGAGGGTTTCAGGTATCGAAATTTTCATGTTAGCAAGTGATATAGATTCCCTGGAAAAAAAACAAACACCAAAAATCTCTAAGGCATGATGCACCTTATTTCTAAAGACATTTTGGACAGACTAATTAAAAGTGCTCCAGTGTTCAGTATTTCTTCCCTTTGACTGTGCAGGAAATGTAAATGACTACTGCAGACAGTTATCTAGTTAGATAGGATTAACCCCAGCTAGTCATTCAATGCTCATTAAATAAAATAAATCAAATGTGTATCTTGCTCCAGCTAGAAGATTTCTTTACCCATGACTCATTTAAAAATATAATCTCAGAATGCCATCACTGTGAAGACAAATGCATGTTTATTCTGTCTTAAATGGGCGTATAACATCGTTAGTCATAAAAAGAAAACTTTCTCTGTAAGAATCTAAAACAAGATTATTATTAGCATTTGTTTTACTAGATTCTTACTAAATATCTTTATTTCATTTCATTTCATTTCATTTTTTACATCTAGAGGTTTTTGGAGCAGGTGCTAAGTACTTTTTATATATTATACATTAAGCATAATTAATTACATATTAGTCAAATTAAGCATGGAAAGTATAATGCATTTTGTCATTATAATGAATGCATTACTTTTATTATGTCATACTTATTTTGACTTTTGTTGTAAGAATGGAGTCAATGGAGATTGATCCTGTACCTTTACCAATAAGGAAAGTGAGTAACCTTGCTTTTGGTTATCCAGTTAATTACTTTAAGAATAAATTCCCTCCACTCAGAACAATTCTTAAATACCAAACGATTTCAGCTATGGTTGATGCTTCGTAGAAGTCATATATTTCCCAAGAGGAACTAGCAAGAGATAAATTGGAACATTGATTTCTAGATTCTCCCTATGGCATGGACAAGTTATAAACTTGTGATGATAAGTTCTTGAGTTCCTAGTATATTTCTATTATAAGAATATTGTAGCTTTTTACAGAATAAATGTTTATGTTGCTTGCAACTGAGATTTAGGATTAAATGTAGAAGTCAAATATATTAAGGAATGGAAGTATATATTAAGAAAGATTCCCACCTTCATCCAACATCATGTAGTTATCTGCAGTGCAGATCTAAGCTAGTCATCAGTTTTCACCTTTCATAAAGAATTTTATTTGCTCCTTGACCAGGTGATGATGCTCTGACTATGTCCAGGGGCATCAATGTGTGAATAACATCTTCAGATATTAAGAAAAATGTAGATGGTAGCAATCATCAGTTTGAGGGCAGTATTAATAACTGACATTTTAAACTCTAAATGAAAATGGAGGAAGAAACCCTTCCCCAATCAGAATAGGTAAAATCCAGCAAAATAAGATGTTCTAAGGAGGAATCTCAGCACAATAAGTGGTGTAAGCATATAATATTTTTTTTATCTGAATGTGACAGAAAGGTCGTATTCAAAAGGTTTTTGTGTAAGACTCAAGTACTTGTATTATCTTCCCCTGTGTGTCTGTGAAAAAACACCAGTACCTGAATTCTACAGTTGTGCATTTTAGTGCTATGAATAAACCTGAAGAGGATAATTTGGAAGTTAGCAATGTAGAAGGGTGGGTAGGAGATTTATGTCTTTTAAGGGCAGCCCTTCCTTGAGTATCTTTGCCAGCTTTGCCCAGGAGGGCAACGGAGAGAACCCAAAGTCAGCTGGTTCTGTATTCCTCATAGAAGACTATCTTCTTTGTATTCCTCATAGAAGACTGTCTTTTTATTCTTAAAATATCTTACTAATTTTTGTGCTTACTATTCTGTAACTAATGCCTTGCCATTCATTTAGCCTGAGACAGTGACTGGTCCAACAAGACTATCACTAATATCTCCACCCCAAGGAGGACGTATGGGTAAGTAAAAATCAAATATAAATTACTTCTTACTTATTATTTATTGGATAAAATGAATATTATTTTAAGAGCATTTCAAATTTAAAATGCATGATTTAACAATTTACTGAGCAAGCTTGAACTGGGTTCAGGTGTAAGGAACTTAGGTAGGCTTGGTCTAGCTGATGAAAAATGGTTAAAAGTGAAGAATAAAATAAATCTCCATATTTACCTGCTCTGTCCTGTGAATCACTTATTGTAGCTAAAATGATGTTTACTGAGTAACCCTATCCAACAATTGCAAAGAAAATGCTGTAATGATATATGGTAGAACATAACATACATACTGGCAGTATCTTTTGTTGGCTCTCCGTTAGTCTTCATGTATATATTGGCTTATAGTTATCAGAGATCAACACTGCCCATAAAAATCATTTTATATATTAGATGAGAAAAAAAGGGAAAACTGAATGGAAGGTAATTCTTGGTAAGAACAGCAGGGTAATTCAGCAGGGTGAGATCAAGTATTTCTTCAGGAAGAGGCAATGTTTTTAACAGTTTGTTAGGGTATGAGATGTTTTATCTATCTGACTGCCTTTCAGTGCTGAGCTGTTGTAGAGCAGCAGTTGCTCTACAAGAAAAGGCAGCATACGTGACAGCCACTTGAAAATATTGCAGTGTCCTTGTGCATTGCTTATTTATGAAGAGTTTCACTGCATTTCCAGAGGTCCATAGGTAAAGCATTCATGGAACCCTTCCATTCTCACTTTTCCATTTATCATGCACTTATTATTTTCCATTTAGCAATAGATTATCTGGGTAACTTACAACAGGATTCAGTTGTTAAGAAGATCCATCTCCAGGCAAAAATGGAGTTTTAAGCACTCTTATGTTTTTACATTGTGTGAAAATCCTGGAATAGGGATAATTACAATTGTAATGCACATGTAATCAAGTGTAATGAATTTTTTTCCGGAGATGTTGTGCAGTCTCCATCCTTGGAGATGTTCAAAAGTTATCTGAGCACAGCTCTGAGCAACCTGCTGTAGGTGACCCTACTGAAGCAGGATCATTGGACTAGATGATCCCCAGAGATCCCTTCCAAACTCAACCATTCTGTGATCCTGTAAGAAGTAAAAATTACTTTTGTCTATATTATGTCAGATTTTTTCCATGCTATGTCTGATTTATCTGTTCAGATCTTTTTTAAATGCAATTTTGCATATAAATTTATGGATAATAAGATAGCTGTAGTCTAGGTAAACTTTTTTTTTTCTCTCATTTTGACTGAATATAAATAGATCTGTAATCAGATAGGGGAATTATATGTAAAACAGTTATATGCTCAGAACATTTCAGAATCAGTCCATAGTTGCAGGCTTGTAGTTTCAAAAGCAAAAGAATCAAAGCACATTCAGACAACAGATTTAATATTTATAAAAGAAAGAGTCGGTACAAACAATGATTTATTGGTACACCAAGTTGAACTTCTTTAAAGGATATTGATAAGGCAGGAGAAAAAAACAACTGAAGAACTAAAGCACCTCAGCTACCTTAATATTCTAATAAATGAGAGCAGGTGAAAGAGACTGACCTATCGATGTCAATCTTGGAAGAGATTTGCAGGAATGGTACAATATTGTGATTTTTTTTGACATCTAATCTCTCTGTGGAGATTAATCTGTTGAAATGTAAGTCAGTTTTTCACCATTACCTTCTGTTGGAGTACTGCTGAGGAGTTATGAGAGCTTTCAGACTTCTGCCAGACTTCTTCTAGCAAGAGATACTGGAAAAAGTGCTGCCTTAGCAGATGTCTTGTCTGTGCTAAATCCTCAAAAGCATTATTCATTTTTAAGGCTATTTTGATCTTTCCTAAAGTGTTAGGAGGATTTTGTTTTGTCAGTCAATCTCTTATCTTTCATGTTCTACTGTTATTCTCCACATTTTTTCATGCTTGAATTAACTGATAGTAAATTTGATCCAGAAAATGCAGTTAAGGTGCTTATCCTTGCTTCCAAAGGAAAACATCTCTTAAGTAAAATGGATAATTCATGTTAATACTATATTCAAAAATGTAATTCTTGCAGGTAGTGTATCTTACAGAAGTTCTCAGCCATCTGGAATAATGTCAAGTCAAAATAGTATTGCAGGATCTACAAGGTAATTAAATCCAGCTCATGCTTTTCAAGATGTTACAGTCTTTTATTGGAGAGTTAAATTGAAATTTAACTCTTGCCTGGCCTCAATGAATCTGTACATTCCAAGGCAATGAATCTGTACATTTAGAGACTGTATTCTGTGTCTCTTTCTAAACAAGAAATGTTATAGTGCAAGCTAACTATTGCCCATATGAATGTGTTGTTTATTGCTAGAATACATTTTGAAATTATTTGCTTCAAAATGTTCAAAGGTAGTCTAAATTCTTGTACTCGCATACATCATAAGAGTAGTGAATTTTTATTACGTGAAATGTCTCTTTATGTTTCTTCTAAAAGTCAAAGATTGCAACACAATATCATTAACATTTTACTGAGAAATTGCCCAGAGAGCTACTCTCTGAGTGACCTGAGTATCTTCTTGCACTGTGTAGCAGCTCTCACAGGCTTTTCATCTAAACATCTAAAAGGCCTCTATTTGTGAAAAATATCAGTATGAAGAAATTTTAAATGGATCCAGAAAGTATGGGGATACTTTAAATGGATCCAGAACCCATGTTCCCCATAATCATAAAGCACAATGTACATTCTTCCATCATGAATTTTAAAAAATTTTAATAAAATCTTCTCCATCTTCTTGTATTTGCTTTTTCTTCTACTGTTTACAATGTGTAAAAAATCTAAGTAGCTAAATATCTAATGAGTAAAGAATCTGTAAAACATAATGTTTCATAGCTTTTTATTTTAGTATTCTGGCACTGTGAATTTAAAAATTTTGAAGTCTCTTGTGGTATGCAAGCAGCCTCAAATCTTACTCAGAAATTTATTTTACTAATAGATCCACACCTATAAGACTACCACATAATGGATTTCAACTCCCATCATCATCATCATCATCATCCAGATCACAAAGTAGTAGAATGGGGTCATGGGCTACTGACTTCAGTTCTGACTTCAGAACACCTCAGGTGTATCCATTTACACCACCTTCTTCACAATCATCTGCAGCAAGACACCCAATCACCATCCCTGGCCTTCTGCAGAGACAACATTTAGGCAAGTATTTGAATTTCTCTAGTGAAAAATTTGCAGCATATGATATGGTTCTTGCTTATTTACTGGAGTTCAGGGAAACAAATCATGCTGTGTAGAAATTATATTTGAGAACTAGAAGTAAAATAGGGAACTAGAAGTAAAATAGGGAACAAATGCAGTTTATTAGCACTATTTTTATGTTTTCTATCTGCACAATAGAATATCTGCTATAAGGATATGTTCTAGCTTCACTTCTCGCAATATTTTAACAAAGACTTAAATCTGACAGTTTAAATAATTGTTTTCTAACAAATTCCTAGCAATTCTGAATAATGCAAAGCATATAATAATTTGGCAAAAACTAATCTTCTGACAATTCTTAAGTAAAGAGTGGAGAATAGAAGACAAATAGTAGAAGAAGTAAACTCAGTGGGAGTCATAGTGAATCACAGTGTTTCAGCTGGAAGTAAAGAGTAATGAACACAGATAACACTGAGATAATCAACAGGAGTCCTTTAATAAGGACTCTTATTAAGGAATAAGAATGGGTGAGTTATATGGGAAAGAAGGAAAGAATAGTCTATAATGAAAAGAATGAACCTGAGACAGTTCCTGCATGAGTAAATGGAGCGGTGTACAAAGAGGATGACAATTGACCTCTCCCTATGTTCACTGGAGAAAATGGAACGTAAAAGTGAACTGCAGTATTCTGAATGTAACAAGTATTAGTGATCTAGTTATTAGGAAATTGGGAAAAATAACGGAAATGAACAAATAAGCAAACTCCCTTTGAAGTAAACAAGGAGTAGAGAATGAACAGATGAGACGGAAAAAGGAGGAAGGGCATTCAGGAATGGAAGAGAAGGATGAAGATATTAAGAGAGTTGGGAGAAGAAAAGGAATACATAAAAATGCATGATATAAGACAAAGGTTGTAGCGGAATCAGAGTAAAAAATGATGAAGAATGGCTATAAGAATGCAGGATATTTCAGTAGAAAAAGGAACAGGAGAAATCAAAAGAAAAAGATGAGAGGACCCTGTAGTCTGTTTTTCCAGAGAAGCAAGAAAAGTAGAAAAGAGATGTTCTGATAGTTGCAACGAACAGACTTAGACCAAATAATAAATTATGAAAATAATATTGAAAATGACAAAAGCATTTTAATGTCTAATATTATTTACCTATTGTATAATTTTTATTAAATATTTCATGGTATTTTTCTATCACATGCTCTCCCTCTTTACAGATTGGAATAAAAGACTTAGATGATTTTATATGATTATTTATTTCTGCTCTTCTTTCTTGTATTCCATTCCAAACTTTACATTAAAAGTGAAAGTTTTGTTATTTACATCAAAGTGAAAATTTAGATTAAATGTGTTTCTCAGTCTTTATTTATAAAAGTGACTTTTCTACTCCAAGAGCAACACAACTCAAGCAGTTTGGAGTTTATAGCCAGGCTGTTCTGTAGGTATGAACAAAGCTAATGAAAGTGAAGATATTTTAAGAAATTCAGTCATTTTCAAATTTTGAATGCTTATAGCTTGTAAAAGCTTGCATGATATTTTACATTGTGGAAGTTTCTGGAGAGTGATGTAGCATGTGATATAATATATGAACCAGTTAGATTCTGTAGTAGGAATCTAAGTAAGCAAAAATAAGCAACTGTATTGAATTTAGCTATTGATCTCATTTCAGCTATAACTTCATGAATTAATTGTGGTTTATCCAAAATAATAGCATTTACTTTGACATTCACCTGTGCAGCCAAAATACAAAAATGGAACATATTCTTTTATAAAGAAATAGAAGTCTAAATCTTTTATAGACATATGGAGAAGTGTATTTCAATTGATAAAAACAGCTTTAGAAAAATTTACATCAGAATGTATTTTGTAGTTTTAGGTTTTGGTAGTTTTTACTTTCTTTTTCAATAAATTTAAAAAATGTTTATATGAGTAAAATTTTCCTTAAGTATTATTAAAAATAATTCTACCTGTATTTATTTTTCTTATTCTAGGACCTACTAATTTTGGAGGACATTCAGCAGAAAGATAAGCAAATATCTGTGGTATATTTTGTTCAATATGCATCTGGAGAAGTCTTGCAGAGTCTTTGGATCTCAGAATACTTGTAATTTCTATAAAATGTCAAACTGGCGTAAACAACCGAGTATTCATCTTGAATGATCTATCTAAAATGTTGCTGATATTGCCGATTAACATCTATAATAGTTTTAAACAGGAGTACTGTAGCTATTTTCAGATTTTTTTTTTTTTTTGGCTTAAAATGTAAAAATGTGTATTTGTAAAAATAAACAGCCTTTATTAACTTCTAAGACAAAAGAGACTTATGTACTTAGTGAACTTAGTGACCTCTGAGAATTAAAGGTTGTGTCTGTACAGTGTTAGAGATGGGCCCCATTCCTAAAATATATTTAACTTCTGAGTATTTGATTTCAGAATTTGATTTTTTTTTCAGTAGATCACTTTTTGTGGGGGCTGTTGAAAGGTGTAAGATTTGCAATATATTATGTTCTACCAGGCACTGCCAAGCTTATAAGTGCAATACTTATACCGCAGCCCAAGAAGCTTTCCATTTGATTTAGGTAACAGTGATTTCTCCTCAAAATGTGATGAAATGGAGAAACAGCTGTGAAAAAAAAAAAAACGTTTGAGGCTACCTAATCTCACTTAGAAATAGCTCTGAATGGAGGCTCTGAATGACATCCTTTTTTTTTTTTTTTTTTTTTTTTTTTTTTTTTTTTTTGAGGGTGTCTTTCTTTGAAATTCCCAACATTATTGTGTATGACTGAGCCAAATCTTGGTATGACTGAGGCAGCAAACATGCAGCTGGAGGGCTATTGAAAATATTTGTGAATTTGTGGAACATTTTTAAACAGTGTGTGAGATTTTTTAGGAATTCAAAACATTTTGAAAATTTTGAAAGAAAAAATATTTAGTTTTGTTTTGGCACTAACTTTACCTTAATTATTCTTAAAATGCTAAGGTAAAAGATTGTTTGTAAGTAAATGAAAGTCCTCCAAGCATTCTCTTTTGGGATGAAATGGGTTTTTTTTGACCTAAAAGGAAAATGAAAACAAAGAGAAAACCAGAAAGGGGAATATGAAAGTGTTTTGCTGAGGCAAATAGAATATTTCATTTGGAACACTGAATTTTGAATGACAGCTTTAACTGTCTCTGAATTTGGTTTCCTCATTTCATATCTTCCATCTCGCTGTCTGTAGCGTTGAGTTTGAACAGGTGGATGTGCTACTTGATCAAGTGTTAAATAGATGAAAAAATATATACTTCATGAATCTTATGGAGTAGGAGATTCCATAGCAATTTTTAAGCTTTGTATTTTCCTTATTTAAATGTAATCCCATTACAAATGAGTAATTATTAGTGTTTTTTACTAGAGGAAAAATTTGCGTGTTTCTTCTCCATAAAGAAAAGATTTCTAAGTAAATTATTTTTCAAGCAGAATTTTAGTTTGAAAGATACTTTTAGAAAGACATAAATATAGATGTGTGTGTGTATAGATACATATAACACTTATTGTAAAGATAACTATCTGTAATCTTTTCCTGAATTCCTACTTTCCTATAGTTCAAAATGAGCTGCAATAGTTGGAAAAAATGTGATTAGTAAAATATAATAATCTTCCATATAAATAGTGCTTCAAAGGTTTTCCTGTCAAATTAGCTTAGATTGCAAGAAGATATTCTTTCTGTTTTCCGTTTTATCATATTGCGAAACCATCATGCAGGACCACAAGGTGAGAATATATTTTGATTGCTAAAAGTTAGATTTTATACTCATTTTAAATACCAAGGGCTTATTTGCTGAAATATCTAGTATTTGCTGAAATATCTAGGGCTTATTTATAGTGCTGCTCACTCCAATGGTTTCCATACAACTTCAACAATACATTTAAAGGCTCCAGCAATCTATTCAAGCTTCAGTCTAATTCTGAAAAACAAAAACAAAACCAAGAGAAACCAAACTAACACTTATTTTCTCATCTTTGGAGATTTTGAAGCCTTGAAATGTATTTTAAAGGGAAAATTCGAGTAAATTAAAAAAATATATAAGAACTATATGTCTTGAGTAGAAATGCCTTCAAGTCATCACATCTTCTTTCCCTTTCAGGTAGAGTGAAAATTTCAATCACGCAAACCAATTAAGTGACCAATATGTGAAACTGTCAAAATTTAAATCTAGCTGGGTCTGATATATCATAAAAATAATTACTAGCAAAAATAATTTCTAGACAGTAAAAGTAACATGAAGAAATAAACATGCAGGGTTCGGTGCTTTTATAATTTTTATGAAACGAAACGTTGAAAATATTTAATACTGTAATTATTTCTTTAAGAGGAGGAGAAAAAGAAAAGTCTCTGCTTGACATGAAGTGCAAAAAGCTTTATATTCTTCCCTCAACATGCATCTCCTATTAAATTATTCTTGCCTTGTGATGAGTTGCCTTCCTTTAAATATTTTTTAAAATTGCAGTACATTAATGATACACCAGAGGGTGCTAAGTTACCTCTAAACAATTTATTTTATTCAATCACTCAACTCTTTGGGGTATGTTGTGTAAAATTGAACTATTCTGTCCATATATTGAAAACCTGTATAGTAAAAGGAAGGCAAAAACATCTGATGGTAACAAATGCGAGGGATTAAATGAATTAAGCTGAAAGTCATAACAGTAATTCAGATACAGTATTCCATAAACAATGAAAATTAATAGTGGAAACAGAGACTAGTCACTCTGGTGCAATAAGCAATACTGGCCTGAAGGAAAAATATATTTTGGCTTCATATTGGAAAACAGAGTAATTTGGCAATGGACTATTCCGTTACGGGATAGAGCCAGTGCTCCAGCACAGTGGGTTTAATCTCTGGAGTGGGAGCCCAGAGATTAGATGGGAGTGGGAGCATTGCAGTGTTTAATGTTGAAAGAGGTGATGAGTCAAGGCTGAACGAGCCCCGACTTCTTTTCAGTCTTTGTGTCTGCACCTTTCTGGCTTTGGGTAGTAAGACGGCACCAATTTCTCCTTTGTACACTTTGGTGGGAGAGAACATAAAAGAATATACATTTCACTAAAAGTGTGTTTTATGCACATATAAAAAATACCATAAGATTTTACTACAAGTCAGAATAATGCTATTCATCCAGCTGGGTCACTGTTGATGCTTAACATATCCTCTTGTTTGTTTTATCTTTGCCAGCTTTAACTATGTGTTTTCATCACTTATCTCTTTCACAAGGTGACACTCTTACACTATATAAAGTAACATCATGTCTATTTATTGCTTTGTCATACAAAGGAAGTCTGTGGCAGACAAATGCTTAGTCTGTTAGACCTAATATTGGATCCTTGCCAAGTAGCATTTTCTACAATTGCACTAATTAAAATACCAAATTGCAACCACTTATTTCTGAACTCTCGTATTGTACCAGTCAGACAAGAATGCCATAACTCATCAAAATGCAGCATTTTTGGCTTATCTGTTATGGTACTACTTTTCCTCTAGAATTTAACCTGCTTGTGACCTGAGGAAAAGCAATTTGATAGTTCTCTCCTTCTGTGGTCTCCGCATCAAAAGTACCAGTGTAAAAACTGGTTTGTTTTCTTTTCCTACAGAGCACATGGGAAAGTACACAGTCCTGCCCATAGAGAACAGCAGTTGCTTGATTTTGCCCAGGGCCATTTAGAAGCCATCAAAGGATGGACATGGACATCATGTATCCCCGGACACCTTGAAATACATTGAAAGCAGGTACTTACCTGAGCTGTGCTGTCAGGCCTTACATGTAAAGCAATCTGCAGAAGCTACTCAGTGCTGAGAGAATCCACTTCAGTCCCAAAGAATCACCCCATACAAGCGGTGTTTTGTCCTAACAGGGACAGAGCCTCCCAAAAATGCAACACGTTTCCTAAGAGGTCAGCCTCCACCACAACATCAAGGTCATTCTCTCTGTGTATTAGGGCGTTGGGGAAAACAACACCAAAGAATCCTTGCTCTATGTGAAGAGGATAATTAATCACCCTAGGCTCTCCTAAAGGCTTTTCCAAACCCCTACCTTAACCTAGCATGTATTTGAACCATGTTTGACCTCCTTGCCCAGCTCACTGCTGAGCCAAATGGAACTTGGCTGTGGAGAAGGTTCAGCCCTTCCGTGTTTTCTCCATGAGCAAACTCAGGTGTTAATGAGTAACTGCTCCTCTCCTCTCTTGCTCATGCAGCACTAGTGGCAACCTGCCCCCCAAGGTATTTGAAACGACTGAGTGTGGCAGCCCTAAGGAAGAGCTGAGTGAGTGAACCACGCTGCTAGTGTGTACTTTGGGATCATTCCTCTAGGAACAGATACAGAGACCTTGCCTGCTTTATCTATTTTTCTAACTGTGAGCTCTGAAATGGGTGCCTCTGGATTTCCACAGCTTGGTTTCTCCTTACATTAGAAACGTTGTGGTTCATAGTAATGCTTAGCAGGTATTTTATAAGATACTCATCTCTCTAAATAAGATTAAATACATTAAGGAATAAGAAGCACTGTCTCTTCTCCTATGTAGAAGATTCCTTGTACATCTCCACAAACATAGTGTAGTTATCATTATTTCCGAGAACATTTCACACCATAACATTTCACAGCATATTTCACATGCTCTAAGAGTCCCTGCTTGAGCAGGAAGGTTGGACTAGATGATCTCTAGAGGTCCCTTCCAACCTTAACCATTCTGTGATTCTGTGATACTGATGGCATTATACAGTGTACTTGGCAAAAGCAATACAGCCTAGGAATGTTACAACCCCATCCATTAAATGTTTGCTGAAATGTGAAAACAGAATACCAGTTTGTGTGTGTGAATTACTGAATTTGTAATTATTAGTGTGAATTTTAAAAGCTGCAAGCAGATGGTAAATGCATTAGTTTTATTCCACAAAACATACTTTTCCCAAGATGTAGATCTTAGGTGGTGGAAAGGCCAATTCTGCCAATTGCCTACTTCCCTCACATACTCTAATTTTAGTGTAAGTCTAAAGAAATATGGTTAACAGCCGAGTCTAGTGTTTTGAAAATCTGCAGTACTATATATCCTCATGGAAAGTCACGTATCAATGACGTTTAGTTGGCACAATGGGTTTTGAGAAAAATTGTGTCAGAAACAGTGCAAGTCTCTGTGCAGTAAACTCATAAACTTACTCTTATATCAGTGTACCAGAGTTTTCAATAGTTCTTGTGGAAATGGGTGA